AAGCAACAAGGAAACCCATTCTTTTGTTCTAAAAACTCAAATGATGTCCTATAGTCACACAAAACAGAAACAGGGAAGAGACACACAAAAGGGAGAGGAAAGCAAACAGTGGGTGTGTGTGTGTGTGTGTGTGTGTGTGTGTGTGTGTGTGTGTGTGTGTGTGTATTTGTATTGTTTGTTTTATAAGACAGGGTCTCACTGTGGATCTCTGGATCACCTGACGCTCACAGAAATCCTCCTGTGTCTGCTCTTTGAATACTACGATTTAAGGCAAACTATATGTGTCTGTAACATTGAAGATTTATATCATATTGCATTAAAGATTTATTTTCACTCTATTGAATATTTCTTTTTATGTATGTGTACTTGTGTCTGTGTATATATGCCACGTGTTTGTGTTTGTGGAGGCCTGAAGGGGGCATCAGATCCCCTGGAGCTGGAGTCACAGATGACTGTGAGCTGCCTGACATGAGTGCTGGTGATTGAACTCGGGTCTTCTGGAAGAAAAGCAAGTATTTCCTAACCTCTTTTTCACTGAGAAGAAAAAAGGGAAATGGTTCATTTTTGGAAAGTGTAATTACCTAACTCCACAGCAAGGTAGTCAGCTCTGGATAGAAGAAAGATCGTGTCTCATATAGATGCAGTACACATGTTTTTCTTTATGTTACTCAGAGAACTTTGGATATTTTCAGTCTCAAGTATTGGTGATGACAATGGAAGTTTCTAGAATAAGAAAAGTACATAAATGTCTCTGTTTAGACCTAGTATAAATCACACCTGCTGACAAAGTTCTTTGACTTACCGAGCCCTGGGGGTGACAAGGGTAATGAGTTCAGTGAAATGATTATGGAGGGTGCAAAGGTCAATTTGGCATGAGAAAATAAAATCAATACCAGTCACAGTGGCATGCCTGATCACTTTCCCATACTCAGTGGCTCCCTGAATGACAGTATCATAGTCTACATATTTCAATCTATCACACAGAATCAGTAAAACGTTATTTAAAATTCAACATGATCTAGAAGAAGGATTTCTCAGGAACGTACCATTTTAGCCCATGGCACTGAGGATAGGGGAGAGAAGGATGTTTGCAGTTATTGTGTACGGCTAGCAAAAGACAGGTACTTCCATTTGGGGCTGACATGGGTGGATGCATCTGGCATCCAGCCATGCCTTCCTCTGCGACCCCTTCTGAGAACTGCATCATTTCTGATTCACTCCTTGTGCAAACATCAAAGAGCAGCTTGTGAACCTAGAGGCTCCACTCATGACTCACAGGTCATCTAACCTCACATTGTTGGTCTTTCAAAATGAAAGGTGTCTTTATACCAGAAACTGTGTAGGTATTCATGAGCCCCGCAACAAAGGTAAATGCACCAGTTTTTTCCTCCTTCCTGGCTCTTCAAAGATGGCTGTGCTCAGCTTGGCCAAGACGAATACAGAATGTGTGCACAAACCTGCTGGGAAGTCAGCTCTCCACTCCCTCCAAAACCTCAGCTAGAAAGCTCCTTTCCAACACTCCCCATGCCATAGGGTGCTAATGATATGTAGATTAAATGTCATTATGAAAGACAATTTGCATCCACTCACAGCAGAAAGAAGAATTTGAAAATTTCAAAGTAATAGCACAAAATAACTCCAGTCTCCCAGGGATGTTTCCCTCTATGGTTCCAGACCTCTACGTTGGCCCTGTAGAGTCATTAAAAACCAGAGAAGAACCTGGAAGACTGGCAATATCCTGATCCCCAACCCCCACTCTGTGTCCCCCCCCCGCCACCGACTGCATGGGCATGGTCAGAAGGTTTAGAAGTGCTAAGCTCTTGCTGCCCTTCACCTCAGAGGGAAGGACCTAGAACCCTTAGCTTTGCCTTTAACTTTGTCTGCCTGACCTTAAGGCAACAGATGGGCATCTCTGAAGGGAAACGATGCTTTCCACAAATTGGCCAGGAAACCCTTCTCCAGTGTGAGTCTCCGTCATGCTTGAAGGCTACTTCCACCTGTCTTGTGCAGCTCAGTGCAATTGCTTATTTGTGGATATTTGACATTTGCCAGCATGGGAATTTACTCTCTGGATGACTGCTATATTTATTTCCCCCCTTTCTAGAATGCCAGGCTCTGAAGTCTGAGAATTCTTTTCTGTTTGTGTATGTGTTCATTAACTACATGGAGATTTCTTGAGGGTTTTGTTGTTGTTGTTGTGCAATAGTATTTTCAGACACAAACTGAAGCAGTAGAAAAAGTTGACAATCAAATACAGGTGTCCTTTCCATTATCCACATTCTCTGTGCCACTGACCAGAGTTAAGTATCACAATTGTCTCTTGGGTATCTTTTTTTGAAAACTCCCAGTGGACATCACATATCACTATCTATGTAAGTGTTGGGTGACACTTCCTAGGGAGACACAATACAAATGTCTACTCAACCCAAAAGGAGCACTGATGACAGACCACAATTTGGATGCCACCAAAATCGAATTTGGGGATCCAATGAATATATGGGGATTACTTACTTACAGGGTTGTGGGTGAGGGGTTTATTTGTAAGAGTGGGGGTGACTCAAAGGAAATTGCATGACCCAAAGCTTACCCCAGTGTGGATGATGGCTCATGGACTAAATCTATGTTCATGTCTCTGTTTTTGTTCCTCTTTATTTTGTATTTCCCTTCTTGCTCGTCAGGAGTTGACAAACTACACACTTATTTCCTAGAGTTACCTGTCTTCAGTTTGTCTTGCTTCTACAGTCTGAGCCAGAGCATCCAAAATGGACCAAACTGGGATTCATCTGGCTCAACAAGACACTGGCCAGCAGCTGTAAGCCCAGTAGCTGGAGGTAGACAAGATTGCCTCCCTGGAGAATTGACTCAGGAGGGAAGGAAGCAGAAGTCTGGCTTGCTGTCTGCAAAGCTAAGGGTGCAATGATGCTGAAGGATGCTTCGGTGCCGGGGATGAAGGGTGAGGAATAGCACACAAGATTTCCATTCCAAGGTGATCCAGGCCCCATGAGGGTCTCTTGGCTGCACTGTCTGGCAGGTCTGGGCTATCAAGTGAACGTTTCAATAACCACAGCAGGAAAGTCTACTAGCTCCTTCTTTTCTCAGAGTTTATCATTTCTCTCATGGATATTTGGCTTCGGGTTTCCTGGCCCTGCTTTAGCTTGGCCAGACAACCATATACTGCTGACTAAATCTGTGCCCTTTCCCTCGGCTTCCTCTGTGTGGAACTCTAGAGAGGTGTAAGGAAAGGGGCTAGCTCTCTCTGTTGGATTTCTATTGCTGTGACAAGTACCTGACAAACAACTTGAAAGGAAGAAAGGTCTGTGTTGGCTCACAGTTTCAGAGACCTCAGCTCATGACCACTTGACCCCATCATTGTTGTGACCCAACATCATTAGGAGTGAGAGGGACATGTAGAGCGCAGATGCTCACCTCATGGTGTCTGGGAAGTAGAGAGGGGGGGGAGGAAGTGGCTTCCTGCCATCACCACCCCCCAACTCCTAAGTAGATACCACTTCTTAGAGTTTCACAACAGTCTCGATGAGCAAGGCTTTGGGGAGTATTTCCGATCCAGAGCAGAATACTCCCTAAGAATGATTCAGTGTCTGAAGGACACAGGAGCTCTTGACAAATGTCACCTGTAAGGAGTGAAGCTCTGTTGGAAGATGGGGACTCCCTTTCCATTGAACAGGCTCTTGTACCCTTTAAAACCCAAGCTATGTAAATGTCATACCCCATCAAAAATGCCCCAAAACAAATTACTCCCTCATTCTTTGGATCTCTTGAATATCAGTTGCCCTAGAGAGGAAAGTTTACTCAGTGGTGAGCAATTAAAGGGCTATATGTTCTTTTAAAATTATATCTTTGGCTAGAAAAAAAATGCCAGAAGTAAAAAAGAGGAACCTGAAAATCAGGAGCTAACACCGCCCCCTCCACACACATACTTTGTTCTTTTACTTTTATTGTAAATATTTTTTTCTTATCTCTATGCTTCTTTGTGGGTTGCTTCTTTCCTGTTTGCTCTGCTGTTGCCTAGCAACCATGGGCCCAAAGTGTCAGCCTGATGCTCATTAGGGCCATGATGGAGCTAGAGGTTTGGGTTTTGAGAACTAAATTCCTCACTTAGCACTTCCCTGTATGAACTGGGTATCTTGCTTCTATGAAACTGGGCAAGTACAGACTGCCACCTCCCTCTTTCTCTAGAATGCTGTGGTGAGAGCTATGTGAAGGAAGCAGCTGAGGCTGGAGATCTCAGCCAGGCCTGACTTCTCTGCCCCTGAACAGAAGGCTGCTCCCAAGAAATCAGCTATCCCACGATGGCAGGTGGCATTGAGCACCACCAATGGGAGGCTCCAACTCATTACCATGCTCAGGCTAACTCCATGAGCTACCTTTTCCCTATCCCCAGACAGAGTGGAGAGAGGTGGTACCATGCATATGCAAAACCAGAATTGTGTTACGCATCCTTCAAAGGTGTCATCAAGGCAGGTGTGTTCAACTGAAGAAAGGCCACTCAGGGTTATTGACTGTCACCATTTCAAGAGCCCATTGAGTCACCTGGTCTCAGAGGATGTCAGAGAGACAGAAAGACACCAAACCTATGTAAGATCTGGTACTGCCTTGACAAGCTGAGGGAGAATCAGTTACACAGATTCCTGTGTTCTATACTCCATGTTGAGATTTCTGCATCCAATACTCCACCTTGAGGTCTTTTGATCTTCTCTCCTCCTGATCTGGGGATCAAACCTAAAGTTTTGCCCATAGCAGGTGAGCAGTGCAATACTGAGCTACAGCCCGACCCTTGTTTTGTTGAGACAAGAATTTTTCATGTGGCCATGGCTAGCCTTGAACTTATAATTCTCCTGTCTCTGCCTCCAAAGTGCTAGGACTGTAGGCAGGTGCTACCACACCCAGCTTGTGGCTTTTGACAGTGAGTAACTCTGAGCAGGAGACAGACGAATACTGAGAGAAGAACATGTACAGAGACAAGACTTGGGGACACTCACATTCTGTGGGCTGGTGGCCAAGCATACAGGTCACAGGTGATGATCTGGGGCACAGAAGGGATGTGTCGGGAAGTCCAATGCATGGTGCGACTTGAAAATGAGCATCTCTACCACTCAGCCTTGAGTCAGTCCTGCATCTTGGGAGTATCCTGTGAAGGAGGAAGGACAGTCACTAAGCCATCTGTTCTGTTAGGGAAGAATTTTGTAGGTAAAGTGTCCCTTGAAAAGACCTAGTAAGAAAGAAACCAATAACCCTTTGTGGTTTTCCATTGGTTGCCAATGTATTTGGGCAAATATTTTCAGGAGGTTTGGGGGTGGGGGTGGAGAGACAGGATTGAGTAAAAGGTATTTTACAAATATTAGGTTACACAATCCCAGTAACTCATAAGAAGGAAATAATAATCTCAAGTGTTCACGGCTCCCCTGCCAAGCAGCAAAGAGCCAAAGGTCTCTATTCAGCGCCTGTGCCACGTCCACCAGAGGATGACTGCATACAAAGCCGGCTGTTGTATCCAGAGGAAGAGCCATCCTGAGTGACCACACATTAGACCTGGGGAGGGCTGGCAGCAGCTAGGAGAGCTGATGGGCCTTCACAGAGCACAATTGTTCCTTGCTTCCTGGGTCCAGCCAAGAGGGGTTTAATTAAATGAAAATAAAAGCTATCTCAGTTCACCTGGGGAGGAGGGCGGGGCCAGCCAAGTTTCCATCTGATACTTCTCAGTTCACGGTGTAGCTCTCTCTAATGACTGGATATTTGTCATTACTTGATTTTAATTTTTTTCCTCTGTCCTTATTAGAGTAGGAATTTAATTAAGGTGATTATATTATTAAACAAAATAGAAATAAGTTTTGCACACTGAGCCTTCCAGCTTTCCCTTCATAGGGTGTGGCTCCCGTGAGAACCCATCATCTCAGCAGCCCCCTTCTGTGACCCCTTCCCCCATTCCTGACTTCTCAAGTTAGGGTCTTGAAGTCCTTGTCTCAGTCCATTTAGTAGATAATACTTGAGGCTTAAGAGAAGGTTTGGGGGTTTTATTTGTTTCTTTTTTATTTTTGTGGTTTGCTTTGTTTTTGTCTTTTTTTTTTTCCATCTTATCTAAGAAATACATTTGAAAGTCGGGTGTGGAGGCACACACCTGTAACCCTGGAACTCCGGAGACTGAAGCAGGGGATACGGCTAGCCCTTAAAACGTAGAGATAGATACACTTCTTTCAAAAATGAAAATGGTACTGATAAATATGGCTTCTGAATTTTCCCTTCTAGTGATGACATGAATGGAGGTGGAGGTGGAGGGGGGCTATTTTTCTTGTTACCAAAATCAGCAACGAGAGTGTCAGACCCCAGAAGCAGCAATTGTTAGGGACAAGAGAAGCTGAGTTGGATCAGTCCTGTGGCTTAGTGAAAATTGAAAATAACAACATGCTGCTTATTTTTTTATAAAATCATGAGCTTAAATGGATAATTGAATGGTGGGTCCTTTTTATTCCCAGTTTTTTCTCCGCTTGAATGAAACTCCAGCCTGGGGCATGAGAGATTCTTATTTATTTCTGCTTTGCCTCCTGCCCCGCCACCAGCCTTCCCTTAGCTTGGATATCTTGCAGTCGCCTGGTGCTGACTCAAGTGTGGAGACAGAGGACTGTGCAGTGGTGTGGGCACAGATGGTCCACCACTCCCTCAGACTTATGGGGGTGCTCTTCACCAAGGCCCCGGCTCTTACAGGACCGCTGCGGGCCTTGCACTCGCTCCAGCTGCCTTTCACCACACCTCCTCCGTGCCCGGTTCTCCGTGCCCGCGTCTGTGCTGAGTCAGGCCCAGCTACTGGCTTCTTCCCATCTCGAATCTCAGCACGGGCTTCCTGGATGCCTACTTCCCATCCCTTATCATCAATTCCTGGTTTATTTTTACCCCCCCACACACACACACAATTACTGAACAAAACCCCTTTACGTCCTGCCAGGCTCCTGGAACCTCTCCCAACACTGTCCACTCCTGTTCTCCACAAGCTGCAGGGGCCCTGGCAGGTATTCCCCAAGCTCTGAGCCCAAACACGGGCACCCCTGCCCGCTTAGCTAAGCAGTGAGTCCCTGGGAGTGTTGATGCTTCCACAGGCAGCCCAGGCGGGGATGATCCAGCTTTTCAAGCCCTCTGTAAATGTGTTCCTGTCTTTTCCTCCGCAAGTGCCTCCGCCTATTCCTCGGGCGCCTCGGTAGAGGGCGCTCCGGCATCAGCACAATCAGGCACAGGTTGTGAATCTGAACCCCGCATTGCGCAGCAGGTTTCCAGTCTGTACACGCAGTAGTCATCCTGGCACATGCGCATGCGTGCAGTCGGAGGTGCCCATGTTTTGATCTTGATCCGGGTCCACGGTAAAGGATGGCCCAAAGGCTCAGCCTTTACATTTTAAGCTATTAGCCTCACTAAAGGCAAAGATACTAACAGTGCAATTTGCTGCTCTATTAACCAGACTAGATTGACTCGAGATCTACTTTAGTTGGTGACACATATTCCTAAACCCCTCCAAGGAGAAAAACAGAATCTTCTGCGGTGCGATTTGAAAGTTACTGCCGAGTTATTCCATTCTGTTTACTTCAAGCAACTGAATCCATCTTTGGGTGGAAAGTCTTGTGGATGGAGACAAGCAGAAATAGCTCCGCGCTTGCGAAATCCATCACAGGCCAGACATGGAGCTCACTATTCCTTGAGAAATGCCTTGGTCTGCTTAATTAAAATGAAGACGGAGGCACGGTAGTGTCCACTCCGTGGGAAACACCAGGAGGACCACCGTCGCTATGAAAGTGGCTATGTGCTCTTTAGCGCTGGTTTCTTTGATCTTATCAAAGGTACCATTTATTGGGCACTATGTGTGCCTAGCACACTGACAAACACTATCCTTGTGATCTCATTTTCCCAGCAGATGTACCCCATGAGTTAGGTACATTTCAGAGACAGAGACTCCAGGTTGGTGAGGGAGTAGCTGGAGTCCTTGTCTGTCAACACGGCCCAGGATCTCCACCTTGAGGAATGTTCATGGAAAAAGAGACTTGATAGTGGCTCCGGAGTGTCTGGCAGGTGTGATTGGTAAATAGTATTTTACCCCCATAACTCCAGGGCTTTTCAGTTGAAATCCACATTTGAAGGAAATTCCTGGTTGCCTCGACCAAATGACATTTTATGTGTTAGGAGTTAAATTATCAGCTGTAAAATCAACTTATTACCTGGTGAGCAAAATTAGAATGTAGAGGCCCAGCTATTCAAAGATGGTGAGTGGCTGTGCAATGGCTCTCTTCTGGAAGGCTCTATTAGTGTCTATTAACTTGCCTTTTTTTGTACTGGACAACACACAGCCCTTAACTGCTGAGTGCCACCGTGAAATGCAAAATTCAGGGACTGCAGGCTCAACCAGGAGGCAGTTGGCAGTGATCAAAACAGCAGGAAGAAGGCAGGTACCGTATCCTACCAAAACCACCCTTCCGACTCTCGTAAAGTGAAAGCAAGTCCCATTTGGGGACAGATGTAAGTGGGGACAAATATCTTATGCTACGGTCATTTGTGAGAGTCAAACTGAGAAGTGCCATGCTGGTCCACCGCTTCCCAAATGTCTGAGTCCTACCTAGGCTACCCATTAGAGTCCCGTGGTGGCCAGACATCTATCTGTGACAGAGAAGAAAGAGCAAGGGAGTCTCTCTAGGGTGTGCCTACAAGAGAGTTGAGAAAATTCCTTCCAAAATACAAATCCTACCTTCCCAGTAACAGACATGACACAAATTAAACTGGATTGATTTCCTTTTAAATTTTTAAAACTTACATTTAGTGTGTGTGTGTGTGTGTGTGTGTGTGTGTGTGTGTGTGTGTGTGTTCGCTCATGCATGCATGCATGCATGAGCCCATGGAGGTCAGAGGACAACTTTAAGGACTCTTTCCATGTAGGAGCTGGGGATGGAGCTCAGGCTATCAATCACACTTACCTGCAGACACCCACTGAGCCATTCTCACTGTCTCTCAATTCATTTCTTTTTGCTTATCCGCCTTTTTTGGATCCCTGTGGAAATCACCACTTTTTAGGCTGGAGTCATGTCAATCAAATGTTCTGTTCCTGGAAAGAAGTGCTGAATTTGAGGCAGACTAGGCAGGCCAAAGAGACATGTGTTTTGGGTTTTGTCAAAATTACTAAGTCCTTTTTCCTTCTAGGTTCTAAATGAAATGGTGTGAGGCCATGGGAATTAAAAGGACCAGCACAGAGGGAAACTGAGGACAGGTGGAAAAGATTTGGTCTAGTGTCTACTCCTGAGCTCCTGGATCCAGTGGGTCAGAAGAGAGAACCTCCATTCTAAACTTTTTCCTTATATCGGAGAATATGTATTGGTTACCATATTTGCCCTTTTGCCAGCTCAATTTGAGATTAATTTGAGACAAATTTTTGTGCCCTTGTCAGGGGAGGGCATCCCAGAACCAATGCAACATTGTTTCTTAAGCAGGCTGTCCGTAGCTGAGGTCTCCCTTAGCAGGTCCCAGCACTCAGACCTGGGTTTCTTCAACTAGCGATGTGGATCGGTAACCTGCATGGACCTCGCCAGTACTCATATCTGTCACCGTACCTGTTCTCGAGTCTAGATAGTGGGAGCCTGGACTGGCTCTTGCAGTTGTGAGAATTCAGTGACGGGAGAAGGCTGTCCTTCCTTGGACAAGTGTGGTTTTCTCACAGACCTTAAGTACAAATGATTTATATATTATATCATATATTAGAACCTAGCATTTGAAAGGAAGGTGCACGTGTGTGTGCATGCATTTGTGTGTGTGTATAACTTTTTAATTCACAAATGATGAATAATATTTTTATTTTCTTTACCTGGACTGTATTTGCTGCCTTTTCTGTCACAGAAGCCAGACCTACAGGAATGTGACTACCTGACCCTTGGCTGGCTATCTCCAGTTCCCATCATCATCAAATCTCTGCGTCATTCATAATCAGCCCCCCCCCCAGTTCCCTCTGCATCCAGAAATAATATGTATCAGTTACATGTTTACAAGGTAGATAACGCCAGTGAATGGAGAGTCAGGAGATGGAACCTAGAGAATGTGTTTGTGACACACCACACCATCAGCTCCAAGTTATAGACGCAAGTTTTACAATCAAGGGTTGTCGAGAGCCCAGGCTTTCCTGGAGCCTGGCAGTCAGGTGATCTGGACTACTCCTCCACCCCCATTCCCTGCCCGCCACTCGACCCCTCCCCCTTGGTCCGAAGGTAGCTAGTTCTCAATGTGGAATGACAAAGGGTGCCTTCTCAATACTAACCTTATCTGGGATGTCAGCAGAGTCGGGGATGGGGGCAAGAGAAAGAATTGTCAGGAGGTGTCTAAGCAGGTGGGTGGTACTCCCAGTTGAGCCTCCCGGGTGCCCCCTGAAGTTAGGGCAGAAAAGGGAGCTGTGTACCAAGAAGGACTAGGGCTCAGGACACGGTAAGGGCACCCAGGTGCGTGAGACCACGCGGTGGGAATGAGATCCGGGTGGCAGGCTGCAGGCTCAAGGAGGTCAGCCCCTCCCCTCCGCCCTCCCGCGCCAATGCCGCAGTCTCTCCGCCCTAGCCCTCTGCAGACGCTGCCCTTGCCCGGCCAGCAGCGTGCTCGGCCCGAGGCGGGGGTTCCGGAGCCCGGAGCTATTTTTAAAAGACGCGTCACCGGGTTGGAGAGGAAGAGCCCGCGCCCGGGCC